GAAGGACTTAAATATGCAAGTAAGACTTGAAAATCAGTTAGTCAATATTAGTTAATGGTACATTTCTGTACCATTTACAGTCACTTCAGGTAACACCCAAGATGTGGTAAACACTGTTTTAAATCTTGTCATATATTGTTTTGCTTCTAAATGCCTTGAAGGAAAACTTCAAACTCCTTAGGCTGTTGGTATGACATTTCCTTCATATTTTGAACCACAGCACTCCAGCAAAAATGAACTCGCTGTCCCCAAACTCCCCAGGTTCTTTCAGTTTTGGGGGGCTCTACACACAGGATTCTCTTCTCCAGGAAGAGGATGTGTCTTGCAGATTAGCATTTCATTTATGTTTACTATTGTCTTTTATGGGCCTATTTCAGAGCCCACCTGAAACAAAGTAGATGAGAAGAATGAAAGGGACAAAGGAGAGGTGGAAAGGTTGATAAACAAGATGGGAAGAAAAAGGAAGGGAGGGAGGCAGAGGGAAGGAAAGTATCAATGAACTTCTATTTATTCTACAAAGCCCATCTTAACTGTTCCTTCTTTTCTGAAGCTTTCCTGTATCCCTTAGCCATATCTAAGTATTTCTTCTTCTGGGTTCCTACAGTATTGTCTCCATATCTCTATTAAGGCATTTAACACTATATTCTTTTTTTTTTTTTTTTTTTGAGACCGAGTCTCACTCTGTCGCCCAGGCTGGAGTGCAGTGACAAGATCTTGTCTCACTGCAACCTCCACCTCCTGGGTTCAAACAATTCTCCTGCCTCAGCCTCCCTAGTAGCTGGGACAACAGGCACGTGCCACCACAACTGGCTAATTTTTGTATTTTTTTAGTAGAGATGGGGTATTGCCATGTTGGCCGGGCTGGTTTCAAACTCCTGACCTGAGGTGATCCACCCACCTCAGTCTCCCAAAGTGTTGAAATTACAGGCGTGAGCCACTACGCCCAGTCCACTATATTCTATTGAATGAATTCAGGTGTCCTTCACTTAGACTTTGATCCCTACAAGGGCAGGACCACTGCGATATTCACTTATATTTCCAGCACCTAGCCCAGTGGCTTTAAAACTTGGTTGCGCATTGGAATCATAATCAGAGCTTTAAAAAAATACTGATGCCGAGGACTCACCACTCCTGGACTGGATTCTGATGTAACTGGTCTAGGGTGTGTCTGGGTTTCAGGATTAAAAACAATTTTTTGTTGGAGACAGGTTGTCGTTCTGTTGCCCAGGCTGGAGTGCAGTGGCAAGATCATAGCTCACTGTGACCTTGAACTCCTGGCCTCAAGCAATTCTCCTGCCTTGGCCTCCCAAAGCACTAGGATTACAGGTAGGAGCCACTCTGCCTGGCCTGGATTTTAAAAACTCTCCAGATAGTTCCAATGCAGCCAATATTGTGAATCACTTTCCTAACCAAAGCCGAATTATGGTAGGAGGAGGTCAGTAAGTGATGAGTAAGTAGATGCATCCTGCCTTTAACGCACCACAGTTCTGACCCAACATGACCGCATTCAGAGTTTCATGTGATGCTAATTCATTAATATATTCAGGAACTATTAATTAAACAATAATGTGGTACCAGGTATTATGCTAGGCCAAGCCACTAGAGATGGAAATGTGAGTAAGACTCCCAATTCTCCCCTTGTTTTTGATATGCCTCAGGGATGGCTGGGGCCTGTCCTAGTTCATCCAAGAACTTTCTGTCCTGCTGATTAATTGGCCAGCTCCAACAGCAATCATTTCCCTAGTGACTGACAGCAAATCTTACTTCTGGCTGGTTCCTCGGGCAAGTGTTATCTAAGGATAGACTCTATTTACTCTCAGAGAGAGGAAGTTCCCAGGAGGTGTGGGCAAGTCAAGAAACCACAAAGAAAGTGGTCTTGTCTAGATCTCTCCAAGCACTCCAGAAGTGAAAGGGAGATGATGCTCAGTTGGAGACCAAAGTCCTGTGCAGCTCAGACAGGCCTCCTTATGGGCGTGTATGTACATAAAGAAAATGTAAGGCCGGGCGTGTTGGCTCACGCCTGTAATCCCAGCACTTTGGGAGGCTGAGGTGGGCAGATCACCTAGATCAGGAGTTTGAGACTAGTCTGGCCAATATGGTGAAACCCTGTCTCTACTAAAAATACAAAAATTAGCCAGGCGTGGTGGCGGGCACTTATAATCTCAGCTACTGGGTGACCTTGGCTTGGCAGGAGAACTGCTTGAACCTGGGAGATGGAGGCTGCAGTGAGTCGAGCTCGTGTTACTGCACTCCAGCCTGGGTGACAGAGAGAGACTTGTCTCAGGAAAAAAAAAAAAAATCTTCATCACCCATGATGATGTTCATCATCATAAGTAAATGGCATTTCCTTCCCAACCACTACGGTCCCATGCTCAGACCTGCTTCAAAACTCTGCACTACAGGTGACTGAAGACCAGAGATGATGTCCAGGTTGGGTCACCCCTGTTCTGTTCTGCTGTGGACTTTGACAACATCTTCTCTCATCCGCTATCACAGTTTCCTAACTGGTCTTCCTGCTCCTGGTTTTGGCCCATTTCACATAGAAGCCAAATGATCTTTCTAAAACCACAAATCCAATCCCCCTACTCAAAACTCTAATGGCTGGCCACTGTTGTCAGAATATACAGAAACCCCCTGACCCCACATACCTGATACAAGGGTAACAACCCAAATAAACCTGGACTGTTTTGCATCCAGTCTACCTTTGGTATCTTTTTTTGTGTGTGTGTGTGTGTTTTGAGGCTGACTCTCACTCTGTCACCCAGGCTGGAGTGCAGTTGTGCCATCTTGGCTCACTGCAATCTGCACCTCCCACGTTCAAGCGATTCTCATGCTTCAGCCTCCTGAGTAGGTTGGATTACAGGCGCCCACCATAAAGCCCAGCTATTTTTTAAAATTTTAGTAGAGATGTGGTTTCATCATGTTGGCCAGGCTGGTCTCCAAATCCTGACCTCAAGTGATCCACCCGCCTCGGTCTCCCAAAGTGCTGCTGGGATTACAAGCTTAAGTTACCATGCCTGGCCTCATGATCATATTAAAAAGAAATTCAAGTCCAATATCCAGAAAGTAAAATGATATGGAAAAGTAACTTCAACCTTTACTGAAGACTTTCCAATAGACAAAACTGAGAGGTGACAACATGTTAGCAGCCTTCGCTCTCCGCACCTACTCGGCCTGAGTCCACTCTGGCAGCTCTTGAGGAGCCCTTCAGCCCGCCACAGCACTGTGGGAGCCCCTCTCCGTCCTGGCCGAGGCCGCAGCTAGCTCCCTCTGCTTTCCAGGAGATATGGAGGCAGAGGCGCGGGCGGGAACCGGGGATGCGCGCTGCGCTCGCGAGCCAGCGCCAGTTCCGGGTGCCTCAGCACTGCCGGAATTCTCACCGGGCCTCAGTTGCCTCCGCCCCGCGGGGCAGGGCTGGGGACCTGCAGCCCGCCATGCCTGAGCCTCCCCCTACTCGTGGGCTCCTGCGCAGTCGGAGCCTCCCTGACACGCACCGCACACTGGGCCACTGCGCCCGGTCCCATGACGGCCCAGGGGCAGAGGAGTGCTGGCGCACAGTGCAGCACTGGTGGGCAGCTTCACCTGCAGCCCCTGTGTGGGATCCACTAGGTGAACCCAGCTGGGCTCCTGGGTCTAGCAGGGACTTGCAGAACCTTTATGTCTAGCTAAGCGATTATAAATACACCAATCAGTACTCTGTATCTAGCTAACCTAGTGGGGACTTGGAGAACTTTTCTGTTTAGTTCTGCGTCTAGCTAAGGGATTGTAAACGCACCAATCAGCACTATGTGTCTAGCTCAGGGTTTGTTAAACACCAATCAGTACTCTGTGTCTAGCTCAAGGTTTGTAAATACACCAATCAGTACTCTGTATCTGGCTAACCTAGTGGCGACTTGGAGAACTTTTCTAGCGCTCTGTGTCTAGCTAAAGGATTGTAAACACACCAATCAGCACTCTGTGTCTAGCTCAGGGATTGTAAATGCACCAATCAGCACTCTGTAAAAATGGACCAATCAGCTCTCTGTAAAACAGACCAATCAGCTCTCTGTAAAATAGACCAATCAGTTCTCTGTAAAATGGACCAATCAGCAGGATGTGGGTGGGGTCAGACAAGGGAATGAAAGTAGCCTGCTGGAGCCAGCAATGGCAAGCTGCTGTGGTGGTTTTCTACACAGTGTGAGTTTTGTTTTTCTCACTGTGCAATAAATCTTATTGCTGTTCACTGTTAGGGTGTGTAGTGTGTTTGTAAGCTGTAACACTCACTGTGAAGCTTTGTAGCTTAATTCCTGAGGTCTGTAAAACCACGAACCCACTGGGAGGCGTGAACAACTCCTGATGTGCCACCTTAAGAGCTGTGACACTTACTATGAAGGTCCGCAGTTGCACTCCTGAGGCCAGTGAGACTGTGAACCCACCAGAAGGAAGAAACTACGAACACGTTGGAACATCAGAAGGAATAAGCTTAAGACACACCATTTTTAAGAACTATAACACTCAGCGCGAGGGTCTGCAGCTTCATTCTTGAAGTCAGTATGACCAAAAACCCACCAATTCCAGACGCAACACCATCACAAAAAACTTATTCTCCCATCTGTCACCCCCTAGTGCCAGCTACAGCATCAGCTGCTCACCCTCAAATTTCTTTCTCTCAAAAACTTCAGGTTGCCTTGGTTCCCTTTTAATTCCCTTTTCCCTTCTCACCCACTCTTCCATCTTTCTGATTTATTGAAGGGTATCATGTAATTTCTAATATAAATCAGCTTAGCTTTCCCAGTGCCCTCTTTTCTTTATTCATTACTCCAATCAGCTTGACAAATGCCCAAGAGATAAAACAGGTCTACTCTGGAAATAGAGGCAGGGTGCCAGGCAGTGGCTAGTTATATGTCAATACATTTGAGCCATCACACAGAGCTTTTTCCACCTGGTGTTACCTTACTGTGCAGCCTCATCTGTGATTCTCCACTCTCTCAAAATAGGCCCTGCTTGTGTACACCGCATACCTTTACAAACGCTGCTCTCCTGCCGGGAATGCCTGTTCCCGTCCTCTTACCCTGGCAAGACATTCAGTTCTTTACAACCCAGTTCTGATGTCACTTCCTTTTAGGCATTCCTCCGTCCCACCGGGCTGGGTTAATTCACTTCCTTCTCCAGAGCTTTGCTGAACTCTGCACAGACCTCAATTACAACCCTTATAAAGCTGGGTTGTGGCCAGGTGCGGTGGCTCATGCCTGTAATCCCAGCACTCTTGTTTGTAGAAAATCCTGGGGAATCTACAAGAAAACTTTTAGAACTCACAAATGAGTTACAGGGACCCAAGTCCTCAGTTTGGCCTTGGAGGGGTCCCTCTGTCTCCTGGCCCCTACTCCCCCTTTCCTGCGGCACTTCCTAGCACCCCTCCTGTGTGTGGCTCTTTGCAGCCGCAGGTGGAACACCCACTTCCACGCTGCCTACTTTCCCTCTCTGCTCCCTGCCTGGGTAGAGCCTTTGGAGAGCTTCTGTCTCATCTTCACCTCATCCCTAAAGTCGTTAAATAAGGGGCACATTTATCAAGGATAAGAGTTAGACCTGTGTTATCTCATTTAATCCCCACAGCAACCCTCGGAAGTGGGAAGTGTAATTATCACCCCATTTTTCAGATGAGGCCCTGGGAACCTACACCCCTAGTCCAAGCTCACACAGTTATGAGGCCCACTGGGCTTGAAAGCAAGGGCTGCTGCCTGACTCCAACATCCAATTTCTTAATCTGAAAGTTGGAAAGAGCAGAGAGGCCCAATTCCAATGCTTCCTCCCCTAGCTAGATGTATCTCTTCTTTCCCTGATCCAGACTCCAAGGCTGATAAGCTATCAGTGTGTAGAGCTGACTCTGTACTGTGATCATTTATGTAGAGCTTTTCTCTCCCCTGTTTGGCTAGAAGATCCGTGGGAGCAGAGGCCGAGGCCCCATCTTATTCAGCTTTGTAGCCTCACGTGCTAGAACTGCTTGGCACATGGTAGGCATGCACATTGCACGGCTTCAGAAAGAGTGACACGAGATGGTTGAGGGACAATACACTAAAGAGAACAAATGTGTGTTCCCTTTTGCATGCACAGGAGATACGGCCTCACTCATATTTGGGGTGTCAGGATGATGTGGCTGGAATGTATCATGGGGAAAGGCCATCCCCCTCCTTGCTGACAATGCCCTCCATGTCCCCTCAAGGCTGCAGAAGAGTTATCCTGGAGAAAAGGGCCCAGTCTTCAGGGCAGGGATTTGTGCACTCATATTTGTTTACTGTGTGTTTGGCACAGTAAAAAATATTTGTTGAATGAATTTGCTGTGTGACTCTGAACCCTTCTCTCAACTTCTGCAGGCCTCCTCTATTAAAGGGATTGCTCAAGATCGGGGATTTTGCAAACATTCCCCTTTCCCCCTTTTCTCAGTAGCACAACTACTGGTTTATGTAACAGTTTAGATAAGACAGATAGACGCAGCTTGCTGCTGTAGCTGGAGTGGAGTGGTGGAACCCAGAGCCCTGTCTACTTGACTCCCCCTCTTTGCCCCAGACTCCCCAGAGGCCCCTCAGAGCAACTTGAGAACAGTCAAGCTGGAGAAACTCTAAAGGGCCTTGAAATTCGGAGAGCTCTGTAAGGAGTGTCCACATTTTTTTTTGAGATAGAGTCTCGCTCTGTCACCAGGCTGGAGTGCAGTGGCAACATCTCAGCTCGCTGCAAGCTCTGCCTCCTGGGTTCACACCATTATCCTGCCTCAGCCTCCTGAGTAGCTGGGACTACAGATGCCCGCCACCATGCCCGGCTAATTTTTTTGTATTTTTAGTAGAGACGGGGTTTCACCATGTTAGCCAGGATGGTCTCGATCTCCTGACCTTGTGATCTGTCTGCCTCGGCCTCCCAAAGGGTTGGGATTACAGGCATGAGCCACTGTGCCCGGCCTTTTGTTGTTGTTGGGAACAAGCCCCCCAAAATCTGGCCATAAACTGGCCCCAAAACTGGCCACAAACAAAATCTCTGCAGCACTGTGACATGTTCATGATGGCCATAATGCCCAGGCTGGAAGGTTGTGGGTTTACTGGAATGAGGGCAAGGAACACCTGGCCCACCCAGGACGGAAAACTGCTTAAATGCATTCTTAAGCGACAAACAATAGCATGAGCGATCTGTGCCTTAAGGACATGCTTCTGCTGCAGTTAACTAGCCCAACCTATTCCTTTAATTTGGCGCATCCCTTCGTTTCCCATAAGGGATACTTTTAGTTAATTTGATATCTATAGAAACAATGCTAATGACTGGCTTGCTGTTAATCAATACGTAGGTAAATCTCTGTTTGGGGTCTCAGCTCTGAAGGCTGTGAGACCCTTGATTTCCCACTTTACACCTCTATATTTCTGTGTGTGTATCTTTAATTCCTCTAGCGCTGCTGGGTTAGGGTCTCCCCGACCTAGCTGGTGTCAGCATTTTTTTTTTTTTAAGACGAAGTCTCACTCTGTTGCCAGGCTGGAGTGCAGTGGCTCGATCTCGGCTCAGTGCAACCTCTGCCTCCCGGATTCAAGCAATTCTCCTGCCTCAGCCTCCTGAGTAGCTGGGACTACAGGCGCACCACCACGTCCAGCTAATTTTTGTATTTTTAATAGAGATGAGGTTTCACCATGTTGACCAGAATGGTCTTGATCTCTTGACCTTGTGATTCGCCCACCGTGGCCTCCCAAATTGCTAGGATTACAGGCATGTGCCACTGTGCCCGACTGGAGAGTCTGCATTTTAAAAGAGTGGCTCTGAAAAGAGAAAATCCTTTTCCATACATTTGGACAACTATTATTTAATGCGCTTGAATGGTGGAATGTAAGGGCCTTGATTAGGAGTGAGAGGGTGTAGTGTTGTCTTAGGATGGAGAGTTTATGTTTCCCAAGGCCTCCAAACTCCCCTGGGTCTAGGGGGCCACTAGTTCTGCCTTACCATTTGTGCAAGTGAGCCCTGACGTGCAGCTTGCCAGCAGACACTCGGCTGCTGTACTTTCCCGTGAGCCTGCCATGTTCTTCTAAGTGGCTATCTGCTTCACTCCTACTTTTCCCCATTGATTTTTCCCTTCTCTTGCTTTCCAGAACTCACAAAAACCTCCACTGGTTCTAAGCATTTTACATAGTGCTGTGAACTTGCTGGTGGAAGTTGAATAAGTGGATGTGTGATAGGCAAATTGCCCTAGATTTCGATATTTTAGTTAAAATTCCACACAACACCTGGGATATATAATCACACAGGAACCACTTAGCTTCTTGTGAAAACAATTACAGAGTCTAGGAAATGGAAAAATAATCATAGTTTTCATAACTTGTTCCCATGAGGACCTGCTTAATGCTGGGAAATTACAGCTGTGCACACTTCCAGCTGTGGCTGCACCCACCCTCACTCCCACCCTGTCCTGTGCCTCCTGCTACATTGCTATTTACCCAGTTCCTCAACAGGTTCCTATACAGGCTGTAGGTGCTCAAGAGAGCTATTAAGTGACTATTGTTATCCAGCTGAGATGCTCCCCTGTACAATCCGAACAACTACACCATCCATCACTGGAATAAAGGATTACTGGACTTTTAAAGAGAAACTGATATACTCATGCTCATAGCAGCATTATTCGCAATCACCAGAAGGTGGAAGCAACCCACATACCCATCAGCAGATGAATGGGGAGACAGAATGTGGTCCTCACATACCATGCAATATTTTTAAGCCTTAAAAAAGGAAGGGCATCTGGCACGTGGTACCACCTGGATGAACCTTGAGGACATTCTGCTAAGTAAAATATGACAATCAGAGAAAGAGAAATACTGCATGATTCTACTTATATGAAGTCCCTAGAGTCGTCAAATTCCTCGAGACAGAAAGTGGAATGGTGGCTGCCAGGGGCTGCGGGAAGGAGGAAAGAGGAGTTAGTGTTTGATGGGTACAGAATTTCAGTTTTGCAAGGTGAAGAGTTCTGGAGGTGGATGGTGGTGATGGGCACATGATTGTGTGGTTGTGAATGTAGTTAGTGTCACTGAACTGTGCACATAAAATGGTTAAAGTAGTAAGTGTTATGGGTAGATATAGGTATAGATATAGATTTTTTTTTTTGAGATGGAGTCTCGCACTGTTGCTCAGGCTGGAGTGCAATGGCGTGATCTCGGCTCACTGCAACCTCTGCCTCCCAGGTTCAAGTGATTCTCCTGCTTCAGCCTCCCAAGTAGCTGGGATTACAGGTGCATGCCTCCAGGCCTGGCTAATTTTTTTTGTATTTTAGTAGAGTCGAGGTTTCACCGTTTGCCCAGGCTGGTCTTAAACTCCTGAGCCCAGGCAATCCACCCGCCTCAGCCTCCCAAAGTGATAGGATTATAGGCATGAGCCACCACGCCTGGCCCTGTGTTATGGATATTTTACCACAATTAAAAATAAATAACTAGATGAGAAACTAAACAGCTCCTTAAAGCACTTTGACAAGGTCTAACATTAAAGGATATGTCAACTTACGGGCATCTTAAAAAGAAATCCTCCTGGGGATTCGTGGTAGACTGAATGGAGGTGTCTTGTGGTAGAGAGCAGTGCATTGATTGAGTTGTTACACTTTAAATCAAATTTTCTTATAAACTCATATTCCCACGCCCAGATACTTCGGGAGCAGTGACTCACACTCTGTTTAACATTTAACTTGATTTCTCCTCATCTCAGTTAAGGAATCGGGGATTGGTCTCTTTTATGCTCCTGGGGAAGCAGGATTCTGAATAAAACTAACTGTCTCTGTGATTGGTTTTCTTTTTTTTGTTATTGACATAGAACAATCGTAAAATTATGAAATGCAGCAAAATAATGTGTACATTATTATTCTACTTATATAAAACAGAGAAATGCAGGGGGAAAAAGTGGATCTTTGAGAGATAGGCCACCCTTCCCTGGGGTTGCTACAATGAACCTCAATTTCTCTGTTCTTTAAGTTCAGCACAGTCCGATAAAGGAGGGCAAACAAGGTTTACAAGAGGCAGCCCGACAAGAAGGGTAAAACCAGCATGATCTTCCCTGCACAGGATGACGGAAACCAATTTACTGTCTCAGCTGTGTGTCTAAGGCACATTTTCACCTGCTGGTTTGCATGGGCAGCCCTGCAGCTCCACACCTCCTCTTGCTGGTTGCCTAGTGGAGTGGCTGCAAGCTCTGCACCGGCATCTTCATTCCTAAGCCCCTTGTGTACCAACAAACAGGACCCTCCACCTCAGCAGTACTGTTCTCACAGAGGACAGGGATTCTCAGGACAGTGATGAGGTAACCGGCCTCAGAGACAGGCAGCTTTACCAAGACTATACAGCAAGTCAGGGTTGGAGTTGACAGTGGTACTTGGGGTTTCTTAGACCCAGGTCCAATTCTTTTTGGAATCAAACAACTAACATTTATAGCAGGTACCCCAGGCCAGGCATGGTGCTTGGGGATTGATAGGTATTGTTTTATTAAAGTCCCACCATAATGCTAGGAGGTAAATACTATTACAATTACTTTTCCAGATTACTTTTACTGAGTCTTACAGAGCTTAAGTAATTTGCCAAAAGTCATGGAACTAACAAAAGGCAGAATCCGGATTTTAACCTTGGTCTGTGTGACTACTCTATCTGTTTGTAGGCAATACTTCCTCCCTTCCTGTTTCAGAAGATTTTTGATAAAAAAACATTAAGTTACCACAATTAAAATAAATAAGAAAGAAACTAAACAGCTCCTTAAAGCATTTTGACAAGGTCTAACATTAAAGGATTTGTCAATTTAAGGGCATCTTAGGAAGAAATCTTCCTGGGGATTCAGGGTAGACTGAGTGGACGTGTCTTGCGGCAGACACCAGTGCATTGATTGAATTGTTACACATTAAATTAATTTTTTTTTTTTTTTTGAGACGAAGTCTCAACTCTGTTGCCCAAGTTGGAGTGCAGTGGCACAATCTCAGTTCACTGCAACCTCCACCTCCCGGGTCCAAGCGATTCTCTTGCCTCAGCCTCCCAAGTAGCTGGAACTGCAAGCACGTGCCACCATTCCCGGTGAATTTTTGTATTTTTAGTAGAGACAGGGGATTTCACTATGTTGGCCAGGCTGGTTTCGAACTCCTGACCTCGTGATCTGCCCACTTTGGCCTCCCAAAGTGCTGGGATTACAGGCGTGAGCCATAGCGCCTGGCCCATTTGTTTATTTTTAACAGTGATAAAATACCTAGGTATAACACTTACCATTTTAACCATTTTATATGCACAGTTCAATGATACTAACTACGTTCACAACCACGCAACCATGCACTCATCGCCACCACCCATCTCCAGAATTCTTATAACAATCCATTAATTTATGTGCTAGGTTTGTGTGGTTTTCTGGAGCCACTGCTCCCTGAGGTATTTAGGCATGGCAATATGAGTTTATAAGAAAATTTAGGCCAGGCGCGGTGGCTCACTCCTGTAATCCCAGCACTTTAAGAGGTCGAGGCAGGCAGATCACGAGGTCAGGAGTTTGAGACCAGCCTGGCCAATATAGTGAAACCCTGTCTCTACTAAAAATACAAAAAATTAGCTGGGTGTGGTGGCTTATGCCTGTAATCCCAGCTACTCAGGGGCTGAGGCAGGAGAATTGCTTGAACCTAAGAGGTGGAGGTTGCAGTGAGCCGAGATCATGCCACAGTGCTCCAGCCTGGGCAACAGAGCAAGACTCTGTCTCCAAAAATAAATAAATAAATAAGCAAATAAATAAATAAGGCTGGGCACTGTGGCTCACGCCTGTAATCCCAGCACTTTGGGAGGC